TCTTTATTTACCCGACCTTTTAATCTCTCGATATTCTGGTTTGTTTGCCATGTAATAAATCTCTTTTCAAGGTGGTTTTAGCCCATGTTGGCTTAAATATTAACAAGAATTAGAATTGTTACGGTTCGATGTTGGAATGCTTGAATTATTCTCGTCAGTTGAAATAAATTAATGGGTGCGGTTTAAGGTTTGTAGACCACCATGGAGCCTTGTAACTCAGTTCGGCCACTTCTCAAACGTTTCCTATCAGCCGCAATGAATAACATATTGCTTTTATCTCACTTGAAGTAACTCAGCTGTATAAACCTATACAGGAAATATACACTCCGTTTAGTCATACTTTTGTTGCTTGAAGCTCCTTACTATATGGAACCATGTTCAGGTCTCATTTAGAACTCTGTTTCTGCAGAGTTCTATTCAGAAAATCATACGCTATGATTGTAATTATGATAATATGTTCAAGGTGGAAATTCCTTAGTTAAAATGTTTATCATGATTCAACTTGAACCCCCATATAAGAACCTGCTTGATTTTGCTTGGCTAAACCTGCAGGGCCGGGTTGTTCGAAGCTGGGTTAAGATAACCCGGGGTTAGTGCGAAATTTGATCTCAGATATAAAAGCTGAAAAAGCAAATTCAGTTTAATTTTTTCCGTCTACAATTTGATGATAAGATACCCTTAAAAGAATAGAAAACACTACCCGAGGAAATGCTTTTGATCAAACCCGGATTAAAATTTAAACCCGGGTTAGCGCTAATAGGACTTCGAACAACTAAACATGGTGGCATATTTCTGCCAGCAGGTTCTTAAACCACTAGGTTCTTGCTCGCCTGTTTTTACTTTATATGGTGGAAAAAATATAGTAATTAATTCAGCCTAAAAGCCTAAGCACGTGGAACGTGAGACCAGGGTGAGACGTTAAATAGTCAGCAAAAGTCACTGGTATTTTAAACCATCAATGACAAGCCGAGACTCCGGTTTTAGCAAGATGAATCAGCAACTACGTGTGACAGCACCGCTTAGCTACACTAAATGTAGCTCACTTGAAAAATAAAGATGGAAAGTTTCCGGAAGTTCCTTCGTATTTTCCATTTTCCTTTTCAGTATTGGCCTGGATGCATTTTACCGGATATGAACAAAGTGATTCGAGGAAAAAGTGAAGGAACTTCCAAAGCGGGTATAGCTGTAAATGTTTCTAGCACACAAGAAACATGAAGAAACATACCGACAATCATGATCATTCCGGGAAGAAACGACAAATGGAAAAATAGAAGTTATAAAAAATGGCATCTAGCATGATACTTTGCTGAAAACATGGGCTACTATACAATCGAAGATAAGATAGATTACTCACTGTTTTGTAACAGTGTTTATTTCTCTTGCTTTGATGGTAAAAATATGTTGTGGTTCAATTTTATCCATGATTTCAATTTTATTTTCCTTTGTTCTAAACTCATTATCATAGATTACCATACCCCAAAACAAAGAAAAATAAAATTTAAACCAGGGATAAAATTGAACCACAACAAATATCCTCACTTCCCTAAACTGAACTATCGCGTTTTTTTTCAAGATCATTACTCATAAGCCTTCGAAAGCAGATAACACTAACTGACCATTCATCCTAGCCCCCTACAAAACTTCAGACATTATTAATTAAGAGATTTTTTCTCAGGTTAATCGCGTTATTCTTGCAGGATTGTCAGTTATCAATGGAGCCTGCTTTTCTAAAGTCCCAACGATTCCTGACGATATCCATCGTAAACCTGTGCACAGGGCCCCGTGCGGCAGGGCTGATTGGGATGAACAACTTGGGTTCTTCCACTGATAACCATCGTTCCTTTGTTTAACATGTATTTTCGAGGAAATCATGACAATATGCCGACAACGTCCTTGAATTGAAAAAAGTTAAAATATACGCCATCCATGGTCTGTTGGATCCGCCCGTCCCTTTCTTATGAAGTCTGTGACCGTTCAATACGTGCTAGCGATACGTGCTAGCGCTTTAAGAACAAATTTAATGAATCTTTACAGGGCCTTTTAGTCCCAATATATTCTGGTTTTTTGCAATGTAATACATCTCACTTCAGTGTGGTTTTCGTCGGAAGCCGTCTTTAACATTGAAAAGAAGAATTGTTGCGGAACAATGTTTCTTTTTTTACCAAGAAAGGATAATAAAGGAACGGGAGTGGTTTAATTGTTATCTCTGTCAACCTGTTCACAACCAATGGAGACTTTTTAACTACACGTCATCTTTGTATTCTGAGATCAGCAACGATTCTCTTAAAAGCATGACATCCGACTGGAAAATACTAATTTACTTCAGCTGGTTTACTTTTATGAACCTTATATAGTTTACAGAGGATGTAAATCAAAACAGTGCACTTTGCATATTGTCTTTTTGGTGCGGTCGATTTAAAATTGAACGATAAAGAAAGGCAAACCGTAACGTGGAAATCTGTAATTGAAAACCAAAACACACACAGTGGCAGGAATTAATTTTGATTTTATCCCAGGGAGTATTTCTCTAAAATATGTATGGCAGTAAGGATCCAGTAAGGCTGTTCAGAAAATTCCAAGAACACTCCTATTAAAAAGCTTTAATACCAGAATTTCACTCAAAGTGATTTTACCAAAGGCATAGTGACATGTGCAAGCATTTCCCATCATCATTCGCTTACTTGCAAAGATTCTTAGCTAGTACCAGGAAGATCCTTGAAGGCGGAACAACGTTTTGTTAGGTTTACATGCAGAGATTTCGGTCCGTGTGGTGTTCCAAGTAGAGAGTGAATTAAAGATGGCGGAAGATAAAAACAAAAATACAATTTGGGCCCTTCTTTGGAGTCTCTTTACTGGCGTTGATAACTACTTTTATTCAGAATTATTACAATAATCAGCTCGTGGTAACGCCAAACGAAATGGTCGGCCTTTATTGCCCTGATTACCCCAGCATTGAACGACCCGCCGCCATTTTTGTCTGGTTTGTCTCTAGTACTAGGATCTTCCTAGCGAAGGCAGTTTCACCATGGTTCTAAGATCCTCCTGGTACTAGGGACTTCCTATCTCTCAGCTGAGAAGATCCTAGTTAGTACTAGGAAGATCCTAGCGCTAGGGACAAGTGAAACCCTTTGCGCGTAAACTGAATACAGAAAACATAATGTAAAAAGACGTTTCGACGGGGAATATCTAGCCTTTTCACAAAGACAACTTATTCTTGACTCACTGGTTGAATTTTTCTTCGCTAAAGACGGCGACGGCTACTCTCTCTTTCGCGAAGAAAAATTTCAAGAAAAACCTCTGGAACCAGGATACCTATGCGAAAGAAACTGCACAAATACAACTGTGTCTGGCGCTTTTTATGCTAGATCAACCGAGTGTTCCACAGCCACATTAAAATGTATCAGAGAATATAAGAAACATTCCATGGTCAATTCAACAATTAAAGTTAACCGAACAAATGCCAAGTGTCTATTATGGATTCTTTGTTAATAAGACTTGCTAAACCACAAAAAAGTTCAAAACCTTTACAAATCTAACATGATGGACAATTTTTTTCAATATAAACAGCAAACGTTTCGTTTCCTCCTTTTTTTTTAAACTGTAAAATCCTCACTTGGAATAGGAAAGAAAAATCGTGAAGCGCGATAGTAGTTCTAATGACGTCATCGCGATCTATATGATTAGGCTGATTTAGCTGAAAGCAACAGAACGGGAACGTCAGTTGACGACTGGAAAGGGCGCGGAACGGACGAAACGAGACTTCCGGTGCCCAATTAGCCTGCGAGCAAGCTCTCCTATTTGGGCGAGTGAAACGAGTCTCGCGAGAACGCGCGAGCGAGCGGCGAAGCCGCGTGGGGCGCGTTCTCGCGAGGCTCGCTTCGCTTGCCCAAATAGGAGAGCTTGCTCGCAGGCTAGTGCCCAATTTGCAGCTCTCAACCTTAGCAGACGTTACAATAACAAAAAGCATGTTAACAACTCTTACAAACTCTTCAACAATAAAAAGCAAGCTCCGTATAGCTCCGTGCAAACGGACGCAACATTGTCAGGGGCGGATCTAGGGGGAGGGTGCAGGGGGTGCGCACCCTCCCCTGAGATTACCTGCGGTTTTCTAATACAACTGGTATTCTGCAAAAAAAAAAAACTATATGGTTTATTGGTGTTGAAGTAGAGCAAGAGACGAGTGCACCCCCTCCTAAAAAAAATCCTGGATCCGCCCCTGATTGTTGGGTGTTACGTGTTGCGCCCGTTTGCACACTCTTTTGCATGCTGTAGCGCGAAGTTTGAAACGGGTTAAACTTTTGAGCGAACAACTCCCAACATTTCTTTTGTTCCGTGATCGTCGAGGCGTAGCGCAACAGTGTTGGATCCGTTTGCACAGCTCTTCCAACATTGTTAGGGCCACGCACGCGCCAAGATAGAATTAAAGTGTTTAAAAAGGTCTCATGGGTTGTATCCTTCCTACGAGTACTGCAGGTCCGAAGATTGTTGGGAGTTGTTGCATCCGTTTGCATACCATCACCAACACGAACGCAACATCTTCCGACATTGTTGACCCAACAATGTTGGGAGTTGTTGCGTCCTTTTGCACATAGCTTAAGATAACAGGGAACCGAACAAGAGAGGGGACCGTTATGACTATTACAACGAAGTGACATTGGCACAAGGGAATTCTTAATTGTTATAAAAAGGAGAAAGAAAATTAAGATGTAACGGAAAATGGATAAAGCTATCAGCTGATTTTGCTTTTGAATTTTCGACGTGTAATTTAAACTCTTGCATAAAGTAAGCTGAATTATCACCGATCGTCTAGACTTAGTTAGACCATTAGTTTTAACGACTTTTTCAATGGTCAGCGTTCGACCCGGAGTGGAAGACCCGTAGGCTTTCCACATACTTCTATATTTTGCTTGGTTTTCTTTGAGGCCAGAAGGGGAATCGTAAAAATTTCAGCCTCGAAATTATTTTGATAAATCGAATGTGGCCTTTTCTCTTTCTGATTAAGATACGAAAAATAGGCATAGTAAATATGCGCACAGTCATCTTAAATTGCTAAGGTGACATTTGGTTAAATTTGTTGTTACTATAAAAAGAAAAACAGCTAGTATTGATATCCCCCTTTTTCTTTCAATTTGTTAATAAAATGAATTGGAATTTTAACAGGTCAAGGTCATTGTCTTGAAAATAATGGAGGAGGTTTCCTTTAAGTACCCAATGCTATATCACCGTCGTAGGTCTTTAACCTCCCTGACATTTACCCCTCACAGTGTTATGAGGTTTACCCTGGGAGCAGAGGTTTCCCTCTTGCGTGGCTTTTAGCGTTTATGAAGTCAACACGAGACGTAAACAAACCAACTACGCGACAGATAAGCCACGCGAACGACTTCGTAAACGCTAAATTACATGTAAGACAGAAACCTCTGCTCGCAGGTTATGCGAGGCCTAGCTAAAGTACCGTTTTATAAGGAGAAAACTTGTCCCGGGTACAAGCCGGGTAACTCACCTACCCGAGTTACCCCGGGGGAGACAACTTTTCCTACATTTCCTTAATAAACGTGGTGAACCGTTTACATGAGAAAGAAAAAAACGGAAGATGCGGTTAGAATTTTTTATAAAGGGTCACCTTCCAAGCCGGGCCAACATTTCTCAATGTAAACACTTCGGCTCGTTCAGTCGGATTGACTCCGTCAAGGCCAGACAATAGGGAGTTTAAGCAGCGTTTTTTTTTTCAGCGACGCACGTCAACCGGTTTTTTACTCTTATACTCTTATAAAGACGATTTACTCAAAACATTGTTCAAAATCTCGGTTCAAGAGGGCACAAAGCACGCTTCCCGTTATTGACGTGCGTGGCTCAAAAACGTCGCAGCTTAAACTCCCTAGTTATAGCATGCTCGAACGCTTTTGGCCTTGGACAACGGGTCAGCTTAATTCTCATATAAACGCTTCATAAAGTTGACTGGGCTGGGAGGGTGACTCTGTTTACTAGAACAACGTTTCTCCATATAAACGGGGCCTAACATGTCTACGGTCAGGTGAAGTACAGGAAATTCTGTCACAGCAACAAACCAAGACTGCGATGAAGGTACTGATAAAGGAAGCTGAACCTCAGAGGTGGAGAAAATGGTCGCTTGAACAGGTTCTGGCCGGAAAGGTCTAACGTCTAAACTTCCCAATCTTTAACTCCAGTTTGCCTGAGTGAAATAAAATTGCACAACTCGAATAAGCGGTGTATTGACTTTCCAACTCGGAAATAGGGCGTCAACTTTTCATCACTTTTTCCAAGACAGTTATGAAAATCCGAGGTGGATAAAGTCGAGGTTTTGCATAACTTTCGTAAACTCTCTCAACCCTTTGAGTGTTTTTATGAAGATATGCAAACACAGCAAAAAGGTCCATTGATGTTATAAAATAACGTTACCGAGAAAAAAACGTTGAACTCCTTGTCACTAACGCTGATTACAAGAGAAATTCTTACTAGTCGCTAAGTGTTGTACACGTCGTATGCGTACCTGCCTGCCTGCCTGCCTATACAGGGCAGCGCTCTTAGAACAAATACGGTATACAGGTACAGTAAAAAAATTTGGACGCAACTCTTGTTCGAACCAGATAATAAATCCAACATAGGGAGATAACAGGCGCTTTGCAACGAGCGCAATATCAGGCCTTTTCAAACGTCGCGCCCCCGCTGTGTTTTAAGCTGGCTCGACTGAAGCACGACTTGGATTCAGACGTCGGATTTAACATCGGGGCTTAACTGACAGACGACCAATAACATCGCGCCTTCATTGACTGATCAGGTCAACAACCAAACGGCAGACTGACGTGATACAACTCACTTTGACTCTGAAGATGACTGCCGCACAGCTGCAGGTTGTCGAAACGTTAGTCACTGTCAACAAAAACCTTGTCCTGTTCCGGACTGCGTTTACCCGGACGGTCATACTAAACCTACTTATGAAATTTAATTCAGTCGAATAAAATACCAAAATTGCCCAAAACACAAAAAGAAGTTTCGCCAACTTATCAAATGTCCTCTAACGTATTTATAACTTATGAATTGAGTTCGCACGGCTTAACGTTTCAGCAAAACAAAGTTGTGCTGTCGTGATGTACAAAAGTAGTAAGACCACATCGTTTAAAACACGCTTAGGTCAAATTCAATCAATTGAGCTTGGCACGACACTACCACGACGTTTCAAACAGGTCTTACCGGTGTAAACTCTAGATGCCTTAGGCCCGTTTCGGTCGCGCTACTGCCGTGCCGAACTCAATTGATCGAATTTAATTCGACTTTAGCACGGCGGTAGCGCGACGTTTGAAACCAAGTCGTGCTACTGCCGTGTAGCACGGCAAGCCTTGCCGTGCTACACGGCAGTAGCTCGACTTGGTTTCAAACGTCGTGCTACCGCCGTGCCCAACTCAATTCATAAATTACAAATGCATTAGAATACATTTAAAACTTTGCTGAACCGTTTCTTTATTATTGTGTTCTGTTTTCGGCAACAGCCGTTCTATTCGACTGAATTAAATTCGACGTCTGAAACCAAGTCGCGCTAGTGTCGTGCTGCAGTCGAGCTACAGTCGAGCCAGCTTAGCACGGCAGTAGCACGACGTTTAAAACAGGCCTTAGTAATCTTTATATTTGTGTCATAAGGGTGTGGTTCAGTCTATATATCTAGCTAAGAATTTTTATAGGTAATAGCATGATTTGTAGTGATATTTGGCATAAATACCACGAGTGATATTTCGAAATTCACGTACAAATCATGCTATTATTTGTTTATACTACTACCCGCAAAATTTTTGCAATTTTCACATATAGGTATTTCAAATTAAGCTGAAATACCACTGCTCTAGGCCAATCAAATTGTAGATATTTCTCATGTAGTAGGATAAACCCCGTAATTTAAGAAAAAAAGGACATACCTATTTTTCAACCATTCTGGGTCCATTTTGTTAATGGCGAATTCAAGAGCCTCTCGAGTTTTGTTTGTGGTAACTTTCTTTCTCTTTGTTACTATCGTAGGACTGGACTTCTCATACTTCTCTTTAGCATCATCGCAGGGGTTCCTTCCTTCGTCATTTTTCATATCATGCCAGTTCATCTTCTCGTAATTTGGCCAGAGCTTTTCGAATGCTTCTCGAGTTGACAGACAATAATGTAAAGCTGTGTTGCCTTTCTTGTCTTTACTTTCGAATTTAATCACGCTTTTCCTCTGCATGAAGGTCGAAACGCATTTCACATTCCCTCTCAGTAAAGCCATAGACAGGGCTGACATTAAAGGGATTAAGTTTGCGGCCTCTCTGTCGCCCGTTCTGAACCAGTCAGGTAGTTGAGAATTGACGTCCACCATTTTCTTGTTAAGAAGATAGCTTACAATACGTGGACTCATGGAAGGAAGTGAACAAGCTTTAGTTAAAGCTGAGAAGCCTTCATCATCAAGTCTTTCTAAATCTTCAGTTCCGAAGTTATTCAGGTTATCTTTAACCTTTTGGGGGTCTATATCTTCGTTGCCTTTGATCCTCATTTTTTCCCTCCAAAGCTCAACTATCAATCTTGTAACTTCGCTTGTACCTCGCATGTATGCCGGGTGTTCTGGAGTGAGCCCTGTAATCTGACTTTTGGTTCGTTTACTTGCAGGAGGAACGTCATTTTCCACATCCTGTTGACTTGCTCCTTTGGGTGCCTTCCTTTCAACAGCAATAGAAAGAGTACGTGTAGATGATACAACTTCTTCTTGTAGCTCAGATTTCACAATCCCTGCCTCTGCCCCCCTGGCGGCTTCTCTGGTTGACGATTGACCTAGCTGTACTGCTGGAGGAGCCTCCTTTTGCTCGGTCTCGGAACTCTCACCAAGAGTCGCTGCCATTTTAGGACTCACGGTGTCTGTAGAGGTAGAGTTGCAAGTGCCGGTCTCGATCTTCTTCTTTTTACTTGTTACAGGTATAGTACTATGATCCGTAACCCGTTTACCGCTGCCTGGTGCGCTGGGTAGAAACGAAACCACTGTGTGCTGCTCAGACTCCAGCTGATTAGCAAATGTGTTTGGATCAACAACCATATCTTCCCCGACTTCCTTTTCCGACAGTCTTGCGGTCTGCGGTGAGGTTTCCTTTGCTCCGTCGACGATCACTTCCACTGATCTCTTGCTGACACTCTTTTTACAAACACCAATGATGCCTTGAGGTGTATCAGTAGCATCTGATAGGCTGATGTCTTCACCCCTGAACGATGCCTCGATCACAATCCACCGCAAAAGATGTCGACTGGGGTCCGCTGCTGAAAATATGTCAAATTTAGCCTTTCTTTTTCTCATAAGCTTGGTTTTTAAAATTCCCCTATCTACGCAGTCAAGTGTCATGTTGTTCTTCAACTCGTCTTCTGCTTCTTGGGCACTGACGATGAAAACTATCTTCTCTTCGGCAAGACAATATAGCTTCTCCAGCTTTAACAAGTCTTCTATTTCTTGTTCCAGAACAGAGTAAGCAAGAATAAGGACTGGAACCGGCATGGCCAGGGCAGAATTCGCGTGCTTGTTTATTTTCAGCTGTTCTAGCAATTGCATTGGAGAGATGTCAGAGTCGCTATCCTGCGTGTCACTGTATCCAATCTCCCCATCAAAACATTTCTCATGACCCTCTCCGTTAACTAGGCCACGAAGGTGCTCAAGGATAATGCCCTCTTCCAATTTGATTGGCAGCGTGCTTTCAGGAGGTCGTTTCTCCACTTTAGTATCTTCTGTCCATTGGAAGATACCTGGAAGGACAAGGCTGTTTATCCAGTCATTGTACTGGACTTTGTGAAAGAGGAAACGATTGCATTTTACCACCCACAAACCTTCTTTGTCACAGTCATCGTTAAAACGTAGGTCTTCCCAGCAAGGCCATGGCCGGTACAACACTCTCTTCTCAACTGTGCTTTTGACGTTCAGCAAAACAGCAGCGTATACTTGGGTCTTAGCGAATGGCTTCACTGTGATTGGAACACTTCTAAGAAGACCCAAAACGCCATAACTCTCATGTTGCTTGTCTCCGAACAGCTTGGCGGGTCCTGTGTACCTGTACAGCGGAAAATCTTGACGATCAAACTCTTCTGTCAACGGATGTGGCTCATATTGCTTTCGGACATCAGGAGGTTCATCCTTTCCACGCACTATCCTCTGGAGATAATTTAGTGGCTTCCAGAAAGAGCATGGTTGCATTCGCATGACACCTTTGTCGTTTCTGACAACTGCATCGTTACAAGTCGCCGGTTCACCAGGGCTGAGTTGTGCTTCTGACATTAACGCTACATTGTCATCGATCACGAAAACATACTCCAGCTTTAGGGCAAATGCCATTTTCTGGATAAACCGCCTGGCGTATCCAATCCCTCCTTCACTTGGTCCGACATCTTCATCTTCACCTTCCATAGGTAGTTGATCTGGCAACTGGAAAATGAGGAGCATCTTTCCCCAGGTGGAAACATAATCTTGAAACTTTTCCCTTCGAACAACAGCGACTTGAAAAAAGGTTTTCTCTTTGTTTTCGTTTTGCAGCGCGTGGTGGTAATTCAAGAGGCATTTACGAGGATCATCTCTGTGGGAGGGATGAAAGAGCCAATACAACGAAGAAGGAACACTTCTTATTGCTGAAGCCAGGCTGTCTTCGGTCCAACCCGCTCCTGCTGATGTGCTATTCATGAGCTTTTCCAACAGGCAGTTGTAGGGGCGGCGGCTTGCTGGTACCGAACACTTTATAGTCACCAGCATACCATCCATGTTCACCATAACAGTTTCTATCACTGGTTCTTTGCCTTCGAGGAATCTCCCGCACTCGGCACAGTTCTCAAAGTGGTGCCAATGCCAAGCGCGTAACGTACTATTTGGACAGTTGTCAACCTGATGATCATAAACGGACTTCGCTAGCTGTGATGATCCTTCACGTTTCATGAGAATAAAAGGGCTTTGGTCCATGTCATGAGCGTAGGAAAGCCCTCCAATTGAGTACTTTCCAGGTCCCACAGATTTTTGGAGAAGGCTTGGAGATTCCTGGATTGTCTTCCAGTAGGGAAAATTCCAGTTTTCTGCTTCGTTTTTCTCACCCATCAGTGGTTGGGCAACAGGATCATTGATTTCCTTGATCAGATAAAACTTCCCCTCTTCAAATGAAGCAGACATGGTTGAAGATACGTTTTTCTTTCCAAGGATGTCCTGTCGTAGTTGTTTTATGAGGCACAGGTAGGTTCCAGTTTTACCGATTTGGGGTTCAGCCTGGAGAAGGATTCTGTTGCAGTGCTTGTTGTTTTCTTTGTACTTGTTTTGGTAATCATAGCTTTCCTTGTCGGCTTCGTAGTCCAACCAACGAAGCGAAGTGAAATCCTTGCGTTTGCTTTTGCTGTTTTTCATGTAGCTATCGGCTCTGGTACAGGAAATGGCGTTTACTGCAGGGGACGTGTCCAAAGACATTTTGAGCCTTTTAAACAACTGCGCTCCAACCAACGCATAAGGAACGTTTTGAACAAAGGATCCATCAGCAGATAGCTTTGCGTAACGGCACATTCTTCCCAGTTCTTGGATAACAGTGGAAAGAATTATAGGCGAACCTTCATCGTAGCTTAGACGGAGATCCAGGCAGTCAAAGCTTTCGGGAAATGTGTCACCCATGCGCCCTTTATCGACAAGGATGAGGACACACGCAAGATTCTGTAAGTCTTCATACTGGGTGATTGACTTGTGCACGTGTTGGCAATTACCACACTTCGGGCGCCCAGGAGGGAGTTTAAGATCGCTGCAAGGGCACTCAAATTGAAACTGGCATTTCCTTGGCTGAAGCTTCTGAAAAAAAGTGCTTGATGATGTCATGAGTCTCTTTAAATTAAATCCACCATAATCTCTGATGACCTCAAAGCAGTGGTCTTGAGACACTAGTTTTCTAGCTTGTATAAGCGTGTGGAAAAATTGATTGGCAGTTTTCCTGCTCTTAGCTCGTACAATTTTCATTTTTCCTGAACCCTGTTTGCCACTTTTGATAAGACTTTTCACTAAGCGATTTGTTTCGGATTCCTGAACAAGGCTGTTCCAAATTTTCACCAGCTTCTTGCAGTAGTTTTCTTTCAGGTCTTCTTCGATATCTTTAACAATAGCGTACGTCTCTTGTAAGTTTCGAAGCTCCCGAGGGGTGAGATGCATCAAACAGGCGACGTAAGAATTGACCAGCTCCTCTCTGCGTTTCTTGAATTCTATGCCATCATCATTAAATGATTTGCTATTCTGCAGCGCTACAAAGTCCTTCTTGAAATCGTCCTTGACCTTCTCGCAAAGTTCTTTTTGAACCCACTCAAATACTTCGGGATCAATGCACCTTGTGTCTTCCTTGAGGTTTCTCACAAAGGACTCGAATGTCTTACAGAACTGAGCAGAGGGAGATTCGTGCATATCTGTGCTGAGTACCTGTCGTACATTGTCATCGCTGTCGTATGTGCTCATGTGGAGAACGTAGTAGCAGTACTCTGCACAAAGCATGGCGTCAGTCGTAAAGGATGATGAGTCGCTTTTCTGCACCTTCTTTTGAACTCTAGCTTTCTTCACAATCTCTTGAAAGTACTTGTCTTCGCGTATCTTTTGTTCTTTGCTGTTCATTGTACTAAGGTAGTAGTTCAAGCTCACGTACTGCCGTCCAACCATGTCCACTTCTTTTGGCCCACACTTTATCATATAGAACTCGAAAGACACTTCTCCCAAGTCATTCCTGGATTTCGTGATGGCAACCCCACATTTTCTTTCCACTTTAGCTGGTTGCAGTTGGACGTGGCCAAGTTCATTAACTGTCAAATATAGATCTAATCTATCAGAACAGACAAACGCAACGACTCCGACGCCATAATCGAGCCTTACTCTAAACTTTGTAGGCTGCGACGGGTGATCCATGGCCTTTAATGAACCACTCTCATCTTTAGTTATGGTTAACACTTTCTCTTCGCTTACCACGGCTTTAATTGTAACGATACCGTGGCTGCCTTGTACCTCAAAAACCGTGGCATCGGTCTCTTCTGGCGTTACCTGCAGGTTACCGTCTGGAAACACTTGAAGGTATGCAGACAGAGAATCACCCTCTTCAGGCGATTCATTGAGTTTTGCATCTCGCAAGACGTGACGGTCTAAAGAGCGTAAGCCTTTCTCTGATAATGTTGACTTGAGTTTCATTCGCATTCCCCTTTCAAAGTTCTTTACCTCGACTTCTGACCAGTGGACGACGTGAAGCTCTACTTCCTTAGCCGTTTCTTTGATACGATCTTCAATCTCAGGCTCACTTTCTTCGACAAAGAGATCTCCTGCCTTGTACGTTTTTCGAGTGGTAGTGAATTTGTCATGGAGAACAAGACAACGGACTTCAGGAATGCGAGAGTCTTGAGTTAGTAGGTTGAAAGGTGTTGCGGAGATTTGAACTACAACGACATTTCTGGGTGATTCCTCGCACCATTTATTGATGAACAGATTATGTGCGGATGACTTTTGGTCCTTGTCTTTAGTGATTCCCCAGTGGCACTCGTCTGCAATAATGATGAAGAGGGTTTTGGGCTTTTCTTGGACCTCTTTCTTGAGATGTTCAAAGTGCATGTCAGCATCCTCGCCGTGACCATACATAAACATTCTCTTCTTTCCATTGCCCCCTTTGTGTGACGTCAGTTCCTCTACTGATAGGACGCCAGCGTCTGGGTGACAGATCCTTTGCTCGGTCTGATCGCTAAGCATGCGGTACCGAGCTGTGTATACTGTGAAGTCAATATCATCAAAAGCCTCACTGAGTTTCGCGATTCCGTGATAATACTCCATTATGGCCTCTATTCGCTGCTTAAGGATTGCAGCCATTTCAATCTGTGTTGGAAAATAGCATGGTTTTTCGGGATTTGAAAGAGTCGCATCATCAATTTCTTTTCCTTCGTCTGGAGGGTTTTCATCTACCACGTAGTCATCTTTCTCTTCTTCGATACTTGTATCTTCACCAGCTTCAGACTCGGCATAAGAAAACTCAGCAGCGTTAGTCTCGATGACTTTCTGAAGTTCTCCTGAGGGGTCAAAATCGTCGTGGACAGTAACGTCTAAGCTAGCAATTTTGCCATGTGCTGGGTAAGGAGAAATGAGTTCTTTGACCGAGCTGGTAATTTTATCACGTAGCTTTTGCAGCAAAGCATCGTCATCAATTTCGAACAGCCATCCCTTGCGCTTCCTGTTCAAATCTTGCAGATCTTTTTTTAAATCCGGTGAAGGATTGAGGAATTTACAAAACTTCTTGGTTTTCCGGGTGATAAAGGCGTCGACGATTTCCGATAGCAGGTCAAGAAAGAGGGAATAGTTCTCGTCGTCATCTACGTTCCTCAACTGAAAGGTACATTTTGTCTCTCCGGATGTGTAGTAATTGACCACGAATGGGAAAGTGTCATGATCAGACATTTCACCTGCAGGATGTAAGCGTATAATGGTTAGCAAGCTGCTTTCTTGGGCGAGGAAAGCTCCTAGCGAGTTAGTCAGACTTACATAGAAAATCATAAAACGTTCACAAGGTTAAAAAAAGACGGGTGGCAGCCCCACCAAACCATATTGAAATATCAAAAAACATTCTCTCCATTCTTCTTTGGACCGTGGACCCTACCTGCAATCTTCAACAGGCGAAATGATTTAATAGTGAAAAAATTCTAAATTAAAAAAATAATATACTGTGGTAAAACAAGAATACAATAGACTTAAATCACCTTTGAATGAAAATAACTTGAAAAAATGCATTTCAGATTTGAACAAAAAAATTAAAGCTATAATGTCTTGGGAAAGGAAAAAAGTTTGCTATTCTGCATTAGGAGTGATCAAGGTATGACAGGATTTCCTGCGACAATCGCCTTTGTCAGTAAGGTTATTGAGTTAAGCAGGTTGAACTAGGAATTTCAATGTGAAAGCGAGTGCAGGCGTTGTTGCTGCATCTAAACTTGTATGGAGAACAAGGTTTCGTAAATATGGGACCGTAATAAAGACCGTAATAAATGAAGAAATAAAGAGCAAAGAAAGCTAAGGTACCACTCTAAATAAGCAACTGTGATCACTGATGCAAAACATTCGCTTGTGAAATAGAAAAGCGCTTGGACCAAATCAAAGCACAATATCGGCAGTGGAAGGAAAGGAAAAGAATTCCACCAGAAAAGCAGAAGAAGGTAAGTCGGATAAAATAGTTCGCTTGTCAGGATCCACGCGAATAATACGTAGCACAGGACCTCTCAGATTCTAATGACCAAAATGCCCATGTATGCCTTCGATAACGGTGGATTCGCTCTTTTTTCAAAATTAACCCACATACCTCCTGAAGTGTGGTTTAGATCCTGAGAAACTTCAGCATCAACTGAACCACCACTTTCAAAAGCCATAAATCCTAGAGGAAAAACGTCTTAATTAAAAAAATCACCTTATTATGAGATTTTAAATAAACATGTTTCCTACTGCAGGGTTCCCAGAATTTATGGGTTATGAGTCTTTTCTGCCAAGTTCAATAGCTATGAAACTTTAAGCAACTTTTATGAAAAAAAAATTAAAGCTTTTTCAAGACTCAGCTGTTTAGCAAAACTAAAAGGAAAAGTGGGAAGTTGTCTTCTTCTTACATGGTGTGTAATAAACTGAGTAACCAATAGAACCCTGCAGCAGGTACAACTTTATTTTTAGCTTGGCATATTTGTTCTTACCAATGTCAGACATGGTTCTCTTCAGTGTTTAATCAGATAATAACACCTCCATTATGAATCAGTATACATGTGTCTAGTAAAGGAGAAAATACATTCATTCGTTGGAGTTAGGCATGTTAGAAGGAGTTCACAACATTGAGCCAGAAGGAAACAAGTGTCAATCAAACTTATGTACAGCAGAACCCCGATAAAACAAACCTCCCTTGTATAAATCAATATTATTTGAGGGTTTGAAAAAACTGGCATTCCAGCTGTCCCTTTGCACATAAGCAAGCAACAACATTTAAGCTTAGGCACCATTGCTTGCTAGTCTTAGTTGATGATTCAGTTTACACACGTACCTGAATACTTGTGCATTTAGAAAGTGGGCCAAGAAAGTTACTTGCCCAGCAAAAAAATCTACTTGTCCAGGAAGACTGGACAAAACTTTCTTTGAGCTCTTTATTTTCTTATATCGAAAACCTCTTTTACCACCACCTTGCACCACAGTTAGCAAAGAAGACTCAAGTTATGAAAGCCAGAAAACATGAAAGTTGAAAACAAAAGTGCTGTTTACTGAAAGCTCCCTGACCGAGGACAATCCTTTGCTTTTTGTTCACAAATTGTGACTGAATAAATTAGTGTGACGTTGATCCTATTAGCCAGGAAGTTAAAAACAATATGAAAGCTGTCCAAAAAGGCCAACAAAATCATGTAACAAAGGAGCCTAACGGGTTCATAACCATTCCACTTTAATAACTATGCACACAGGGGCACCCAACGGCAATTTTCGGGAAAATATCTGTTTGACACATAAAACAGATTTGCGTGGCCTCTAGAAGTTTCGGGGAGCCTTTTCCTGGCTGAAATTTTCGAGAAGGTAAGTTTGTATCCCTATAATTTTTTAAATGACCCTATGTTAAGTGGTTTTGAAAAACAGAGTTTCAATAGATGTTATTTTTCAGTGTACTAGTACCTGTAGTGAGAGCTATAAAACGATAAGAATTTTATCATGGCCCTTTTTCAGCAAACATAACTAGTGGGGCTGTCGTCAGCAATATAATTAGATAAGCACAAATGATTAGTACAGTGCAAAAATTATGTCAGAGGAACTATAATTTGCAATGTTTGTCTGACTTCTGTCATTTTTGGCAAAACAAGATAAGATGAACATGACCCTCGGGGGGACTCCCATATGAAACGGGTGGAGATGCTCATTGGAAAGTTTGAATCAGGCCCCTAAAGAAGACCAATCTGGGCGTGGCCCAATGTTCTTTTGACCCTTGAAGAGACCATTTTAAACTTTGATTACGTGAATCGAGTAAATACAAAGAATTGAAAAATTATATATTTTTAATATTTCTTCGCGTGTTACTCTAAAACGGACCTTTACAGCCAAATATAATGGCGTTTTGCCCAGAACACCCTAAGTGAGACCAAAATCCGAAATTTACACCCCTAAGCGAGACGGCGAGAATCCCGACCCCTTTCTTATGGGAGTCCCCCCCCCAGGAACATGACACTTTAATGACAAAAGGCAAACACAAGACACAGTGAGAAATTTCAATTTCTTTGTCTTATTTTCAGTTCTATAAATGCTAACAATGCTAATAGCGCTATCTGATAGATAAATCTCTATCCAGTGGATAACGCAATTGGTTTCCCAAGTACTTATCCGCTGGATAGTGGTTTATCTGGTGTATAGCGCTATCAAGCTTTTGAACAACCGGGGCCAGAAGTTTTATCCAGGGGCTGGCAAAGGGCTGGAGGGAATGGAAAAAGCTCGACCAACTTCAGTGCACCAAAAGTTATACACTGTATCTGGTTGTGTTACCTGTCAAAAATCCGACAAATCATTTTTAGGTATTCTGTTTGAAAGCAATTTTAGCCATTCGGTATCAAAGATTTTACAATCCAATTGGTATCTTATGGGGAAAAAATGGGTATGTTAAATTACTATCCCACTACCCCCTCGCCGGATCAGAGAGTAATGTTTGTGTCCCCTATTCGTTTTATCTTGGATGGCAAGTATTTCGCTTCAATGATGACCTCAATCAAAGAAAATGCTTTTGAGATTTGAAGGGTCGATGTACGATATTTTATTGCCTAATTTCATTCCGGGCGGGGGCCTCGCACTACCGGATTTTCCCGGACTTTTTAAAAAGTCCAGTTTCAAAATGGCGGATAGTCAGAATAAAAACTCGAACGAAAGCATTTTTTTCGAAGAAATATTGATCAATATTCCGTTGGAGAATCTGCCTAGGCTTAGTAAGGAAAGGATGCAGTATTTCTTCCACGCCCTGAAGTTAGACTTAAAGAGCCGACACTCAGCAAGTGCAAGCAATTGTTCGATGAAGGGCGTCTGGAAAAGCGGGAATCCGGAATCCGGAATAGGAACGGGAATAGGAACAGGAACAGGAACCGGAACCGGAATAGGAACCGGAATGGGAAGAGAAACCTATATAAAAGCAGGGACAACATTTACCTTAATTGTAAGTTAATCTGGATTTAATTCCTGTTCAGATTATATACGAAAAATAAGGGAAAAATAGAATAGGAACCGGAATAGGAACGGAAATATAAACAGTGTATAGAATATGAAAAGAAAAAGATATAATTGTGATATAAATAAAAAGCCAGAGAAATAATTAAAGAAACAAGAAAACACCCTTGAAATGTTAATCTAATTAACCTTTCTTTATCTTTAGCCTATGACACATTGTGTTTTCGTATCAAACATAATAGCGAACTTAAGCAACGAGAACGCTGACCGTCGCTTGATGGAACGCTTCTGTCTCACACAACGAATCTGAATTCTTCCTCTTGCCTTCCAGTGTGCGAATTTGTTGAGTCAGAGCACCTAAAGACAGAAAACATCCACTTCCAGTTTCCATTTTTAATGTCCTGGACGTCAACGTTCTGCTTGCTTATTAAGGTCCCTATTGCACGCGGTTGAGGTAGATGAAGTACTGGCCGCTGAGATGGGTTTTGGGGGGGGGGAGGGGGAGGAAGTACATGTTAATACCCTTTTTAAGCTGTGGACTATCTATCTCTGGTTAACTTCCCAATTTAGCACCGTACAATATATCTATGGAGCAAACCTGAGGTGTATGGCAGCCCAATAAACGTCTCCGATGGGTGTCTCGTATACACATGGTCTGACAAATAATATTAACATGTGATAACCACCTTCCTGTGAGAGACAAAAGGAACCTTAAGATCTGACGACGGCAACGCCAGCGAAAACGCCACTGAGAAACTGAATTCGGGTCTTAATTCAAACTATTTCTCATTAATTCCAAATTGCCCAGTCTTTTAAAGGTTGGGAAATAAAGCTGGAGACCGCGTCCGAGCTCAGAAAGACACAATAAAATATATTGCCTGTCGTTCACGTTCTTAAGAGAACTTAAGATTTGATCATTTACATCATAGTTGTGCATACGCGGTGAAGAATTTGACAGAAAGCGCGATACGATGCACTCGCAAAGCTGTTGCTTTACTTATTTAACTTGCGGCTTTTTCTACCTCCTTGCTGCCGTATTATAAAGAGATTCGGGGGGGAGCATGATACCAGAGTAGTGTTCTTATTTTTTGTATAAATTGAATTCGAATTAAAATAATTTAAAGTAAATGATATCCCTGTTCTTGTATCGGTTCCCCTTCACATTGCTGTTTCTGTTCCGTTGCTGTTTCCGGTTCCGGTTCCGGTTCCTGTTCCCATTCCCGTTCCTATTCCGGATTCCGGTTTCC